AATAAACAGTGACACAGGCAACAGACACAGAGTTTCCGTCACGTTGGAAATTCTGCAATGTGTCTACATTGCCTGTTGCCAACCAATCATAGTATTCGAATTTTTTGGGTTGTAATTAACAATTTTATGGTTATTTTCTGTTCCTATTGCCTGTTGCCTGGCATTGTGCAAGGGGCTTAAATCTCGCGTAGAGAAAATCGATTATTTAACCATTAATTGGCGCTTGTCTTGATCGCCGTTAATCGTGCGCTTCGCGACGTTCAATAAAACCCCCGGAATATCTCTCTTCGCCCTGAATTGCGGCGTACGCGAGAGAGAGAGAGAGAGAGAGAGAGAGAGAGAGAGAAATGCTCCATTTATCAAGACATTTATCGTTCGCGTTATTGAAGTCGCTTTTCCGATCGCCGATCGGAAACATCGTGTGAATTTTCGAAGTGTTCGGTGGCAATTAATCGTTTCCCGGTTCTCGAAGCGCGCGGCGCGCCCCGGGTTTTGCGGTTAGCGTGTCGCGCGCGCGTCGGGGTGAAGTTACCGGGAAACGGTGGAAATTTTTTCTACACGTAGCACAGCGTGTCAGCATCTCTAGTCGCGTCCGTCGCGAGTGTTGGAGTGTCGGTACGACAAACGAACGCCATGTTCCGCGTTGCTCGTTTATCCGTCGGGACAAAGTGGCGGGCTGTCATTCGCGCCCGCGTTAATTAGCGCGCGGCATCGTAATTAGCGATTTTCCGGGCAGATCCATGTCTAGGGGCGTGAGCGTTCGGAGCAACGGAATGGCGCCCTCCAGGAACAACGATGTCGGCGATTTCGACGGTGCGTCGGGCTGGTACGTTCCTTTTTTTTTATTATATTCGCGGAATTAATTGTTCACTTGTCGCTTTAGCGATGGATTTGATAATCATGCCATGCCCATTATGCTCTGGCATATTTTTTCGTTTCTCACGTCGTCTCCCTTCGATTTAGAATAATTTAGCTAACAGGATATATTTACTCTTAATTATACCAAATTACTTTATTCTTACTCTTATTTTTGTAAGAATAAATTGCATTTTTGGTTGATGTTTAAATATATCTACCGATCTATCAATTATAATTTAATATATTAAATAACATTAAATATAATTCAATGTTAATAATTAATTAACACTAAATAAAATTAAATGATAATAGTAATACTAATAAATGCAACTTTTAAGTAGCTTTTAAAAAGCTTGAGATAATCATCGATAAAATTAATCAGAATTTAGTAACTTTTAAAATATGCTTAAGTATAGTGCGAAAACAATAGTTATAATTAATACGTATATAAATGTTCTACGAATCTAGGATGCCCAAAATATTTGTCTGTAATATTTTACTGACAATTTATTTTCATGAAAAGAAATATTTCATTTTTTTTCATGTAAAAAGTTTCGAAAGCAAAAATTTCTTGATTATAATCAAAACTTGGATTAAAATTTTGAGCAAGTGAAATTTATTGAATTTTAAATGAATAATATTTTTAACAACTCTTATCATTTAATTAAATAATTGTTTATCAAACTTAAAAATCTCAATTTATATATGATGACGAAAGGAGCGTAGCACGGACGAGCTACGTTTGTGTTAAACTTACTCTATTGGAGTTAAGTTTGAGCAATGTCGTCGATTCAACAATTTCTAAAAATACGTGTGATAAGGCAGTGTTCGAGTGCACCAACCAATCGAATAACGACGGCGGTAAAGGAGAAAGGACCGGGCCAGTCGTTGAAAAGGCTGCACTTAACGCGGCGGATATATATCGCTCTGCAGGATGGGGTGGAAGTGAAATGTGGCTGCGCTTACCGGGCCGGTTAAACGTACTATTTATTGTCCGGTTTCCTTCGGAGATCCTGCGTCGTCCGTAAGGACACTATTTACCAATCAACTGCCAGAATTGTTTCCATTCGTATTAAACGCTCCACGCGACAGACAATCGTAATGCCTTTCCAAACTTGACAATATGTTAACCGGTTAACGCATAGAAATTATTTAAAAAATTATACTAATCGGACAATAACTTATTAAGTTCCACCTTTTAAGTAATCTACCCTTTTTATTCTGCGTGATCAATTAAGAAAACAATTAAGAAAAAACAATTATTTTTCTTGTATGAAAAATATAATCTAACAAATCTCACTTCGCGCGCGTTAATTGTTCATTCCTCTTATTGCTCTATATTGGCGAGGAAAAGACACATTTAATCCATAAATTACCATTTCAAACAATGGTATAATTTTGTCGAGCTTAAAAATGTACTTGACTAGAGAGCAATGCATTTCCGCGAGAACTGCAGCTCGAACTGCAGTGACTCTTAAATATTACATTTTCTTATTCGCTGCAGAGAATTCATGCGGTCAATGCAGTAAAAAGTCTAAAAAGTTCATGAAAGTTCGTTTTATATACGTTTAGAAAAAGAGAAAATTATTTCTTTTGTTATCAAAGATAAAAATGAAAAATTCTAACTTCTATACTATATATCGACTTTAAAGCAATCATTTAACAATATTACTAGAAAAGCAAAAAAATACAAGTATATAAAAAGAACTCACTTGTTATGCGATACGAATGCACACAATTTATCTTACCTTTTGATGTAGTCCCGATAGAAATTGCAGCTGAAACTTCATTTTCGCCGTAACACTTTACGAACTGCCAGTCTTCTCTTAGTTTCTTCAGCTTCTCCTATTACATATGCATAATATAATGTAAAATACATCTTAGACGATTTATAATTTGTGTTAGAACTTAAGATAGTATTTATTTTATTTAGAACTTTATGTGTCGTGCAACACAAAAAATAATTATATAATCCTTCTCATAATTATAATTATGAGAAGGATTATATAAAATAAACATATGTACATTAAAACACACAAACGTTCAATATATTACGTACATATAAAAGATATATTAAAATACGCATATATATACATGAAAATACACGACATAAAACTTATAAATAGAAGTGCGTCAGATTTTTCAGTATAGAAATTATTTAAAGTGGACTTAACATAATACAACGTTTTAGTGATAACAATCTATTGGAAATTGAATATAATAAGTATATTTTTGTATACCTGCAATTCTACAGAAACCGGTTGTTTTGCTGATTCACACTCCTTTTCCAGATTAGTGTAGTTTTCTAACACATCTTTTACTTCCATTTCGCGATCTTCAACTTTAGACTGAAAAATAAATAGTTTTTGTTGAAAAAATTATAAGATAAAAGGGCAACTTGATATATCTTTTTTAATTAATATTAATATTAATATTAATATAATTATGCAAATCATATTATAACTTACCATAATATTTTTAATCACTTCATTACGCTCGTGCTGCGGCAGGTCTTGAGAAATGCTCAATCGCGTTCGTGTCTCCATAACCCATGCCATAACAGCATCCAGGGTACAGATGTATTTTCTAAGCGATGCAAGTTTGCATTCCACGTATTCGCGGTGGTTCGAAAGATTTGCGTTAGCCTAAACAAATAGCATTAAACGCAAAAGTGTTTATATGTATCGAGTTAATAAAATTTTAAAGATTACAATATTAAAAAACTTTATATAAATAAAACCTTGTCCATATCCGCGAGAAGTTTGTTGCTCTCGTCTTCTTCTCTGGGAACGTTATGTTGACTTACTAAGGTTTGCAAAGTTCTTTTCCGAGATAGGAGTTCTTCTTCCCTCGCCTACAAATATTCCATTAGATTTTAATAAAAAATAACGTAACTTATTTTATTGTTATATTTTTAACAACTTTGGTTAATATACACTGACGAAGGCATAACGAAGGAGAATTAATTTATGTCATAGATACTTTTAATGTTAATCCGTTATCTATAAAATAAGATAAAGAACGAATATATGGTCAAACTTTACTAGGAAGCGGTTTGAAAGTGAGAGTTCAACGCTATTTATATCCTGGCACGATTCGGCATGTGCAGTCATGAAATGTAGAGATATTATTAGGACAAGTTTCAGTTTATTTGATTATGCTGCGCCGAGCTGTAGCCCATAGGAACTGAATCTTGGAGAGAATAATTCCGTTACTTATCCGAGTCGCATCTAAACAGAGCGCTCTAAAGAGTGTTTTTTAATACTACATCTTCTTCAGTGTTGTACATCTTCATATATTTTGTGTGATATTATTTTGAAAGCATAAGTGATTTTGTGATGCAATAGTGATCTTCGCGAAAGTGAATGTGTTACACATGGAAATTGAGTCACTATATATAACGATATTACGATCTATTTAAAAGTTGAAAATTTCTGTACATTTGAGGAACAAAAATATAGATAATGAATTTTTGATTGCGCTCACACACAGTTATTCTTGGATTAATTCTATTAAAATAATATAAAACATAACATTTCGGAAATAAACTCAAATAAAATGTCTCAAAACTATATGCACATTTACCTTAATTAACGATAGTCGGATCGATAATGAGGTTTCGTCTGAAGGATTTGCTGCAGATACTAAAAGAGTATTCACTTGTTCTATGATATTATACGCCGTTTCCAAAATCCTGCCGTCGTTGTTCACTTTTCTCTCCATGGCAAAGTTCCTTAAATAATACATTAATGCAAATATATTCAAAATGTGACACATAAATGGAGCATATTTTAATATCTATTAACAATATTTTATATATATGACAAGTTACTGAAATTATTGTAATCGAAGTTATAATATCTATTACTGTTTTACACGAAAATGTGATTTACAAGAGAAACTCGAAGATGTTCGTTTATTCTGAGGTTATTCTGAGTTGACTGACTTCACCACAGCAGCACAGGCAAATCACAACTGAAATAGCTCAATGCTGGGTCGAGCTTTCCTCGCAATACCACATACTTGTCTGCATTAGCAGGTCATAACTTCTTACTTAATTCATAATTCATAAATCGTAAACAACGGCTATTACTTAACTATGAAAAGTCATATATTTATTTAAGATGTCTAAATAGTAAAAAAAAAGCGGATACAAAGATCCATAAATAATTTTGATCTATTCTAAAGTCTTGAAAATAACGTATGTCTTACTTACTTTTCCTTTCGCGCGTTTATTTCGGTTACTAAATTGTTCCAACGGTGCTTGATATTTTCGATTATACTCTGTAATTCTATTACATCTTCAGTGGAAGCTCGGCTAGATATATCTGTACTCATTATATTAATATTATTTAACGTTCTTTGCATTCTTGAAACTTCTTGTTCTAGTTCGAAAGTTTTCGTTTTACTTGCTTTAGAATGACTGAAAACGTGACACTTCTTTAAAGCGTCTTCCATCTTATCTAACCATTCCGAAAATGTCTGGCATGTGTTATGAAGTTCTCTCCATTTTTCGTAACATTTAATCCATCGGTTATGTCTTTCCATGTAACTCTGACTAACGCCCGTCCATTCGTCTTGCAATTTCTCGCTTAAATGTTTTATTTGATCAGACTGCTCTCTTTTGGCTTGCCGCGTGACGCTTTCGCAAACGTAATTTACTTCGTCGATACTTGGCTTCAAAATATTTAAAGCATTATTAATTTTCTTTAAGCATTCTTCTTGGCTTGTAAACAGCTCGTAATCTTTACCATTCAGTGGCAAAGAATTCAAAGATCGCGATACGGTCGCTATTGCTTCTCTCAATTTGCTGATGCGTGCGATAAACTCTTGCGGATTAACGCCACCAATATCCTAAAAAAATAATAATAATAAAATAAATCCCATAAATTTTTCAACGAATTTAAAATCTTTTAATAGTAATTAATTTAACTACAATATATCTCACAACAGTATTGAAACATACCAATTCTACTTTCTTATCAGTCACGTGTTTGTCCTTGTCTTTGCTACCACTGAATCTCTTGAGCTGTGAACTAACTTTTTGCCAACTGCTATTAATGCTACAGCATACTGATTTCGAATAGCCAACATTTAATTTTTCCAACTTTGCAGCTAACTCATTCAGCTTATGTATTTGTACTTGTTTTGCATCAAATTCTTCAATGATTGATTCCAATTGACCCTCATAATTGTTAGCCTGTTCGAGCTTCAGTGGTACATCTCTAAACCAGTCTTCAAATTCCGTAATTATGTTATTATATTGTCGTAGAACTTCTTCCGCTTTTTGTGCTTGTTTTCTGCGCGTTTCAATTTCCGCCATAACTTGGTGCCATTTGCTTCTCAGCTTATCTTGATGTTCATTTTTTATTTTTTCTGCCCGTGCAGGATCAGTCATATGTATCGTCATAACTAAACCGTCTCCCTTACTGATTAAAGCTGCTGCATCTGGGGCAAGAGTACTAATCTCACTTTTCAATATCTGTAATACATGAAAATATAAATTACATATTATACAAGTAATACTTTACTCATAAAGATAAATTAATTATACAAACCTCAAGACGTTTAGTAGGATCTTTCTCATTAGAGATACCACTGATACTCATCAACATAACATCCATCCTGCATAGCATCATTTGTGCTAACTGTTCAAATTCCAAAATATTTTTCTCTAACGCTGTTCGAGAGACAACCATCGGATTTTTGAATAACGGTTTCTCATGAACAGCTTTTGTTTCCATTTTATGTTGCATGACTGGCCGAGATCTCTCAACTTTCATCTGAAAGAAAAGAAAAATATGTTGTGTGAGACATAATTCCGAAGAATTCTTATAATTAGGCCTATATAATCGAGATTTGGAATAAATAACAGACTGGTTGACATGAATGCCGCGTCTGTGCGACATGCATGTTACCTTGTCCAAGAGGTGCTCAACATGCTCTCCTAAATTAGTATCCTCTCCATCTGAACTGGAACTACCAACATCAATTTCTGTATCGTCCGAAAATATTAATGCATCGTCTGTTTCCTTATCGCTACCGTAAAAGCTTTCGCAATCTTCTAACGTGTCATCTTTTGATAGAGACTTTATACGTTTCAGCAATGGTGACTTTTTATATAGATTCTCTTCTTCGCTACGACTCGCGTTACCAATATTTTCACGTATTACAGAATGTTCAGTACTTTTCTCAAATGTCATTTTCTTCTGATTATTCCTGTCTCCTTGCATCGCGACTGACCTCTGTGCCGTAACACACTCTGTTTGTTCACTAATTTTTACATCAGATTTCTCAATTTCTTCGTTATCATCTAATATAAGATACTCCGCTACACTCTCTATATCTTTCCATGAGGATGTTATCTTAGGTGATTTATTTGATCTTTCTTTTAATTGTTGATCTACCTTACTACATTCAGCATTTGAAAATCCTGCGTCGACCTCTTCCTTTCTTAATAGTGCATCGTTAGAAAATGTACTTTTATTCGAATCGGTAACAGTTTCCTGATCAGTGTCTAAATCTAACTTTAGTATGAGTCTTTTAATATTTCGCGCAGAAGGTTCAATTGAAGCTTTCTTTTTTAAAATTGGCACAAGTTCTTTTTTCTTAACAATCTGTTCCGCAGTACTGGTAGAAGATGTTTTTCCTTTAACTTCCTTGTCTTCCGTATCAGTATCAATCGATTCAGCCTCTGTCTCGGTATCTTCAACAATTTCCACCCTTTCGACTACTTGCGGCATCAATCCGACACTGACATTAGCACTCGGCAAGATTACATGATCTTCGGGTGACGCTATTGATTTTACAATTTCCATTTCTTTCACTTCTACAATTCGAAATGGGTTCTGCTGTGCGCAAGCTGCGCTAAAGTCCATCTTCGTCTCTGTTGCTGTCAAAGTATTGCTAGATACCTGAGAGAATAATTTACTGTTTTTGGACAGAAAGAATTCTTCCTCATCAGTCACATGCATGTCCGTATCGGAACAGGGTGAAGACAAGTCGTCGTCAATCTGAACAACTTGTGGTTGAGATGTTTGAACAACATCGGGGACGGAACTCATGTCTAATTTGCGTCTAACCGTTCTACTAACGTCAACAATTCTAGTTTTTACTTTTTCCGACTTAGCGGAAGACTTCCTGCTTCGATGAGGCACATCAGTGGGCGAGCTTTCAGGCGTATTAACAACAGCACATTGATTATCATCAAATGCAGGATTAAAATATCCTATCCCGTAAATTTCATTATTCTCATCTATTAATTTGTTTTCTTTTTTGGCAGGATGTGCGGAAGTTTGTTCCAGCTGTTTAAATAATTTATTGCGTCCAAAATTGTCTCTCCCCTTAGAAGCTTCTGCTTTACTTTTTATTAACAAATTGTCTGTGATTTTGTGGATCCATTCCTGTGAAAATATGATAGGTGACAGAAACTTCATGGACAATCGACAGTTAATGGAAAGAGCATGTTAATAGTGGAACAATATTAAGCATGGTCTAATGAAAGTGACAATGCGATTCACTGTGCGTATAAAGCCGAATTTTTCGTGTATATCCATCACCAATGCAAAAATCTCTGAACTATCACTCAGTTAGATTTTTTTAGCTTTGCAACTTGTCTAAATTCTCCATAAAAAATAGGTTTTGTACAAGGGGAGAGACAATACGACAATACCATAAAACAATCAGTAAAAATACAAATCCTTCCATCCACCAAAATATATACTTATTTTGTGCCAGTAATTACACTATTTACAGAGATAGAGCCACCTCTTGGACAGAAACGAGATATTCCATACTATCGAGAAGTAATATAAAAGTATAATAATATAAATTTAATATATACATGTTAATTTGATATGTTAATACTCAAAAATGTCTCGAAAACAAAAAATATAATATTAATTTTGATACGATGTACAAATAATTTATAGAGAAAGTAACACTTATTAAAACACATATAGCTCCATTTAAATCCTGCTGCAAAAAAAGAATGGGGTATGACATTTCTGATATTAGAAATTTTCGGAAATTTTCGATATTAAAAAAATTAATATTTAATAGAAAGTGATAAGTCTTTCATAATAAGTCTTTCTTATGTATTAATGAAGATATGTTTCATGTGATAGAGAGATATACGTAATGGTACTAACAAGCACAAGCATTACATATACCGATTGTTAAAGTATAAAGCAAAGAATAAGCCATGAGCGAATAAGCAATGAATGATAAAAAATTGACTTTAGAAAAAAGATAATAGATAAACAAATTTCACAATTTTGGGTGAAAATTAGGTACATACTTGTATTCTGTTAGAGATGTCTTCCCATTTTTCACATACTTCGGCTACTTGGGGATAAAACGCATAACGTTGAAGCTGATTAACTTTCGGTTTTGCTTCTATCATTTCACTTTGCACAGCCTAATAATGAGATAATGTTAAACACATTTAGAATGTTTTATCAAAATAATTATTTTATACGTTAAAGGATAAGAAATATACATAATTTCGTACATATAGTATTTTAATATTATATACGAGAACATTTCAATACCTTGCACTGTTCAAAGTGATGTTCTGTAAGTTGATCAATTGGAACTGCATCTAATTTATTTAACTTCTCTTCAACTTGTAGAAGCCACGCATTTATTTCGTCAACGTTAGGTTCATCCTTTTACGTAAAATGAAAAAAAAAACATATATATTTATTTAATATTCAGATTTATAGTATTATATAAAAAACATTTACCTCTGAACCTTGACAAAGTCGCAATCTCTTTTCTGTATTAGCTAATCTCATAATTACATCGGACATTTTTTCCTTAAGATACATAGGATCGCATAATTTTGAGAATTGGTTTTGCGATACAAATAATTTGTCTCTTATAACATTGAGACGCGGGATTACTTCAGTTAGAGTCTCCTGTAATGGCATGAAATATAAATTTCACAGTTTGTAAAAAGACATTTATAATTCAATTCAAATGTAAAAACACGATTAATACTAAATGTTGTTTAATGAATGTTATATCTGAATATAAAAACGTAATGAAATATATATATTATTAGAATTTATATACTTACTCGTACATATATCGCATTTACCGGCAAATCGGGCATGCTTTTTTGCGTATCTAGTTCCTTATTTATGCTTTCGATAGACATATTAACATACGCCATATTTTTATGCATGTCGCGTGATAAATCTAATGCCGATTCTAATATAGATTTAAATTCCGTTATGTGAAGACCAAGCTACAACAAATTTAAATATTTGAATTGTTTTTTTGATATATTCTTTTCTAAAATTAATAAAACTTAAATACCTTATTATATAATTCCTTTAACATGTCAATTCGCTTTGAAAATTTATCTGGTTCGGGAACCGCTTTATCTTCGACTAATTTTCTTCCAGTTACGATTATACATTCAATTTCACTTTTAATCTCACTTAAAGTCTGATAAAAACGCTGTAAGACAATGAATAAATTATTGATGTGCATTAGTTTATTAGATTATGCAATATATGAATAAACGTGTAACTTAATATTACCAGACAATGTTTTAATTGACCCTCGATGACTTCGGGATCTGCCGATGATAATTCTAGCAAACAAGTTGCTTCTTCTATTCCCCTGAGTTCTCGTAAAGCTCTCGATAATCTAGGTTCTATATTGGTCGGACAACGAAAGCGTTGAAACTTTCTTTGCACTTTAACATATTTCTGTTCAATTAGGGACATTTGTTCTTGGAGTCGAAGTGCCGCTTCTTGTTTACCAGAAGCTTTGTACGATTCAATTTGTGATGCCATTTCCTCGAGCGTAGCACGCTGTTGTTCCAATTCTTCCATTAATTTCTATGGCCATAATACGTAATTATACATAAGATAAATAATATCTATTGTTCTATTACCATATATATCATACTTCGTGACACGCCATATGCATTAGTAAAGTTTTATGTTCTTTTTATGATATAATTAGTAAAATTTATATAAAAGATGCAACTTTTAATAACCACATTCTTTCGATCATGCTATTTCCGTGATTTCAAAATCGGTAGATACATGTAGAATAAAAAATATATTGATACCTACCCAGCAAACACAGAATACACCCAGTAAGCAATTTGATGGCAAATTGTTGCCAAGATGGCATCAAAGATTAACCTTTGAACGAATTTGATGCCATCTTGGTGACAATTTGCTATCAAATTGCTTACTGGGTGTATTCTGTGTTTGCTGGGTATCTTCTGATATCCTTGTTTTTTTAATTTTTAAATTATTTGTGTAATATATTTATCATAGTAACTGTATATGTTAATAAGACTTTTAAATGATAATTATTCACAAGCAACAAAACTGCAACCGATACAGTTCTAATATTTTTAAATTATATATTACTTCTTTAATTATGATATGACATAATACATATTATTTTTTTCATGGACAGACCTGGTAATCGTGAGGCAAATCATCAGCAGTGAGGTCGCAATCAAGACGTGCAGTTAGTACGGAGTCTATTTGTGTTAAAGAATGCTGAAGGGCAAGGATACGCCCTTCCGATTGTTGGGCTTGCTTCACTGATCCTTCCAACAGCTTGGCCCGTTGCCCTGCCTACTCAAAACATAATACTCTATCTTTCTAACTAAACTAACTTTACAAAGCAAGTATTAGACTTGCAATGAATGATCATTACTTTTCTCAGCCAAGCAAAAACATAATAGATTATATTATACAATTGTATATGTATACATATATATATATATATATATATATATATATATATATAATTATACATATAATATTTAAAGATTTTCTTTAATGTTTTGTTGCATATCTATTTATACTTTTATTATATTATAGTTAGGATAATTTTCGCACGAACATAATCTTTCTGAGCAATCTGTAATAATGCTACATGCATGGTTACAAGCTGTTAAAGTCTCAAAACTTAATGCTTATGCTTAACACATACATACATTTCGATAACATAAGCGCTTTAGAATATATCTTAGTATTATAAATCATACACTTTATATTAGTAACAAACATAGATCTCTATATCTATGCATGTGTATGCATACCTGCTTGTTTAAGTTTTCCCATCGATTTGTTAATCCCTCTACGTCTGTTTCAATAGAATGAGTCATAATATTACTGTCAATAAGTTGTTTACCAATTTCTTGAATTTTCTCAAGTCTAGATTCCGGATGATTTCGTATGTAATTTTCTAAATCCTAAAATATAATATATATAATTTTTTAGTGTATGTTGTGTGTGTATTATACGCAGAAAGAATTACATAAAATTACATAACTTTAGAAAGAAAAAATTCAATTTTTTCCAAAAAGTATTACTAAAGATACTAAATTAATTTTTTAAATTTTAATTTTTATGAGTTAATTACTTGATTTAAATTATAGGATAATTATTATCAAATATTTGAACAATTTACTCACATCCAGCTCTTCCGAAATTTCTTCGGCGTCTGCAGCAGTTTTAGGCGATTTTTTTAATCGCTTGTCTAACTTATCCAACCAATCACTTTCTTGTGCCACTAAAGCACGAAATTCCCCGTACTCATGACTAGCATTTTGTAAATGTCTATAGCGTTCGTATATACGATCTGTAACATCCGTCCATCGTGCATTTAAGAAAGTGAAGCGTCTACCAAGTTCTTGAACGGATGATCCTTCTGAACTTAATAGTTTATCATTTCCCATTTCGTTCAAGTTTCTAAATTCTTCCACTCGTTTGTCAATGTTGTCTTTCAGCGCTTGATATCGACCACGAACTTGAAACAGCTCAACTGAAGATGTTATTCTTGACTCTATTGGTATCTCCTTTTCTAAACTTGACAGCCACTTTGTAAAATCCTCTATACCATTAATAATCTAACGAAAACAAAATTATTATGCAACAAAAAATATTTTATATTTTTATTTATAAAAATCATGTATACTTACGTTATCATTTTTCTTTAAAGTACTCTCATATTTGTCATTTAAACTTTTAGCCTCGTTAACAATTGTGTTCCATTTATATGTTACAGCTTCCAATTTGCTATTTAACAGGCTTGCAAAATTAGGTTCAGATTTTTCGAGTATTCTATTTGCCAATAATCGAAGTGCTTCTAATTGCGGTTTTGTTTTATCTATTTCTTGAGAAAACAAACGAATTTGCTCTAATTTATGCTCCATTTTTTCGACATTATCCATAATGTTGTCTTTAGATAAATTTTCTAGATACAATAATGATTTTTCCAACCAAGATTCAAAAGTAGAATGTTCAGTATTAAACGTTTGCAAAATTGTAATATCTGAAACATACATTGTAATAATAAATTTCTTATGAAGTCATAACATAATATAAATATAATAACTAGATAAAAAACAAGCACTTTTACATTATATTACACGTATTTATATTTATTTTCTATTTACTTTTGGTAAGAGTCTGTTGTTTCTCTTCCAAAATGATAGGAATATCACTCCATTTAGTATTTAAATCTTGCAATTCATCTTTAAGTCGCTGTCCTGAAGAATCATCATTTATCTTCGCTATTAAATCTTGTCCAGTAGAGTTAACATATTTGAAAGTTTCTTCCTGTTCTTTTAACGAGCTTTGTATATCTTTAAATCTTTTTATTTGCTCTTCCATAATTTTCTCGTCTGACATAATTATATGTTCTGACAATAGAACACTTTCCACATTATTAATAAACGATATCAGATTGGTGACTGCCTCAATGTATTTTTTAGGCGGTGTTCGATCAATGGAATTAGTTATTTCAGTCAATCGTTCGGATAACCTGAATGTTACATTCTATTAAGCAACACATCAAATTTATAATATGTATATATTTACAATAATACTTACATTGCATACAAATTCTCCCACTTAGTCAAAAAAGTTTTTACGTCTGCGTCCATATTAGTAGTTTCTGTAACAGCAACTTGATTTTCTGACAATTCTTTTGCTTTTTCAAGTATCTTTCTTATGCGCTCATCATGGGATTTCATTGATTTTATTTTAACCTAAATAAAATGTTTTAAGATTAAGATTAAAATAGCGTACATTCATATTAAAAATTAAATTATATTAAAGGCAATATTTTAGCTTACCCTAAATGGTTCTATTTGATTGTTTTCTTTATTTGTATCAAACCACTTGGTGTAACTTTCCAACATCAAATTTAGACTAGCTAGTTCAGTCCGGAATTTCTTTACTTCCTCCAGATAATCTATGCGTCTCTTTATCTCATGAAGACGATTATTTGTCGCTGTCCAACAATTTTGTATGTCTTTAATCTTGGATTCTTCTTCTTCAGTGGACTCGTTCGCATTTTTTAATTCATCGATAAGTCGTTTACCAATTTCAAGAACTTTATCATATTCATTTTTATGCGAATCCATATCTGTAAGAGTATCTTTATAGACAACTTTCTTCTCTTCCACGCTTAATTCGTCAAACATTCCTTCCGAACGGCCAATTTCTAAATCGACGTAATCCAGCCATTTATATAGTTGAAGTAATGCCGATTCAAACTCATGTTTAGTAGTATTATCAACACGCCGTTTCTTTGAATCACTATGTGGTGTTGACTGAAAAGAAAAGTATTTTATTAGTCACGAAAACCGAATACAAAAAATATTGAGAATAATAAGAAAATATATACGTACTGTTGCAGTAATCTCTTCTTTATATGCTATACTTGTTACCGTTTCGGACATCCATTCGTTTCCTTTAATAGTTGTTATGTTCTCTTTGGATTTTAAATCGAACTCAAATCCAGAATTTGTTATCTAATGCGCAATATAATAAAAATATATTATTTAAGAATTAAAGAACAAAATATATTTTAAATGTAATATTCTAAAATCTTAAATTACCCTTTGGGATTGTACTTCCATGATTTGTCCAACGGCTTCCCATCGATCTTGCAGATTTTCGATCTTTTCCAAAATATCCGCGTATTCTAAAGACGAGCTGTTACCATCTAAATCCTGAATTGATTCTTGTAGAGATGTTAATTTCTTCTGATTTATATCCATTTCTGCTTTAAGAACTTGCAATTTCTTTATTCTGTCTAATACTTCGCCAAATTCGGATGCCGGGTTAGCTTCCATTTGCTTTAGTGTAATTTCTGTTTCGTTCAACCATGCTACCAGCCTTTTGTAATCATCAGTAATATTTTGCCAAAACGTAGATAAAGATTCCAATCGCTGGCGCCGCTCCTCTTTCCACCGGCAGATGTGACTCCAGCGTTCACCGAGAGCAGACAATTGGTCTTCCATTTGCGCATAAACAGCCTCGGAATTTTCTTCGTCCACAACCACCACCATGTTCCTCATACCGTCGACTACGTCTTGTTGCGCATGAATATCTTGTTCTAATTCGTTAAGATGTTTCAGTTGTTCCGCGACGGTTGATGGATTTAATTCGGTTGCTGCCATCAACGAAATTCGATCTTCAGTTATTGTCAACCATTGTCGTAACGCATCTAACTGAGCCTGTTGCATTTGCATCAAGACCTAGAAATGATCATAGATTACATTTGTAAAAAACTAAGAAATAATTGAATGTATGTACTAAAAATACTTCTCAGCAATATATTATTTTTATCGACAAAATAGATGTAGCATACTTCGTGAATTCTTGTTTGCCTTTCCATGGCGCGCATTCGAAGTCCTTCCCAACGAGAATTTAGTAAAGACATTTGCACACGAACTTCGTGCTCTTCATCTTTATGCAATCCGCCTTCAGCTAACAATCTTGCACCTTCCTCCAGAACAGTTCCTACTCCATCTTGATGACCGGATAGTTCCATCAAGAAGGTTTCATGCTCGTGGAATTGTTGTTTCAGTATGTCTAGAGTCGAGCCCGGCTCGGGGGCATGATTCAATTTATCTTCTGCTTCCAAAAGCCACGTTAGAACATCTTCAAGCGCAACCTGATAGCCGCCAAGCTCGACGGAAACATTTGTAGCTAAACTCATCGGGCGAGATGCTGGCATTCCGAAATTGCCGAACGTTAAAGTAGTCTGTAAGTTAATATTTTTACGTGTCATATGTTGAAAGGATATAATTCTCTGGCTCATTTGCTAAATCACGATTCACATACCTCTGTGCCTGGTGTTGTAACGGGACTAACTGGAGTGCTGTCACTTGCGATTGAAAGATCTAGTTCACCAATGTCGTCCCCCGAATGTGGTAACGATTGAAAGAGGCACATAACGTACATCATTATGGACTTTTTATCCGGTACTGAAGTATTGACATCTAAAATAAAATATAATATCGTCATATAAGCGTATAATGTCGATGACTTGCTCTATAATCTGACAATTTGACAACCAAAATATAAGTAATATAATGTTCGAAAATTTTCGTATCAAATACACAAGATGCAAAAGCTAAGAATTATTGTTATTGTATATAACGCAATATATATATGTAGAACTTGTATTGTATATAACGCAAAATATATGTAGAACGTGTCTCGAATTAAATTACCTTCGGGATCCAAAAGACGTTCAATACCAAGATGTTCTTGTGCGAGCCGAAAAGCATGATCCAATCTAGCATTTGGATGCTTACGCGCGATATTATTGAAGTCAAACAAGTGAGGTTTCCATTTATGTAAGATTGCGTTAAACGCTAAGCCGTCCGACCAAGACGTTGTAAAATTTTTAATATCAACACCAGGATAATTCTAAAAAAAAAGACGATTATAAAGATAAAATTATTATTGCTTTATTTTAATGAATTCGATACATGTTTATAATATTTTTACATATTACCTGTGAGTTTTGACGACACCAAGTAAGAAGTGTTTTTTCTAAATTGGTCTGTTGTAATTCTGTCATTAGATCTTTCAAATGATAATGTACCTGTTGACATTAATAGAAAAGTTTATAATAATGAGAACTTACATATGATAAATACAAATTATCGATATCCTAAAAACGATTATAAAAATCCGAATAAATTTAGCTAAGAATGCTTTAAAGATATTTTTTATTTCTATTTCTGTTGTTTATATTTTCTATTTCTATTTCTATCATTTATAAAATAAAAAAAAATGTTTTATACACGAATATCGTCGGCCTCACGTTCCATTCAAATCTAAATTAAGAAAACTAAATTCAATTCTCATTGAAAGTAAATGATTCATTAATTCCTCCAATATTGCTGGGTTAAAAGGTATTTTGTATGTCACGCTCGTTCGACTTAAATCTATTTCATTCAAGGAGTCTCCAATATCCTTTCAATTTGAAAGTAGAAAATAGTCTCGTATAAACTGACAGTTCCGTTCCATATATATAATGAATTAAAACTTCATGACATGAACGATCTATACTTAATATTGATCAAAGGCATGTTATAGTCAGATTTTAATTTACATAAGAGTTTTTTTTCTTGATGCATAATTAGAGAAGGTATTTCCAAAATTATAAATAAACTGAATTATTGCAAATTGAAATAAAAGAGAATTCTGTTGTAATTTGTACACTTTAATATTTGTGTTATCGAAAACTTACTTGCCAATGAAGAATAATACTCCACACCAAACCAAGTGTCAATTTAGGATTACCATCGACAATGTCATTGCTACTAATATTGACAAGTTTCACCTAAAATACATAATATTATACAGCTTTGACAGAATTTTATGATTTACTTATATAAACAATATCTTATAATTAATATTAAATAAAACAAGATTTATTTTCGCCATCTGCTTCTGTTTCGTGATTCTGTTGACTAGTGATTCTTTTTAGCTGTTAAATATTTCTAGCATAATACAGTTGCAGTTCAAGCATAAATGTTGCAGTTATGTACTTACGTTATTTTGTTCAAGAATTTGCAACGCTTTATTAACATTATTGAGATGATGCACTCGCATCCGACCGCGTTCTCTTTTCTGTAAAATAAATATCTTTGCTATTATATTATCCGCGCTTTAAACACACCTTACTTATACCTGGCACTCACTTGACTTGTTTTAACATAAAAGCTACTAATTCTATACGAGCCATTGTGCAAAATAAATTTCAACGATAAAAGCCAACACCTGTGTAGGGGCAATGCAAATGCTGTAACACGGTATTATATCTCGGGAATGGAACATTCTTACGCCTACCGCGCATTCGTAATCGTGCACTCTTATGCAAATATCCCCGCGCGATGCACGCGCACCTGCTCGCAATTCGCCACGGCGAACGCGAGTGTGCTGACGCGGTGCATGCATGAGGAATAATTTTATTAGGAAGTGCCGTCGGCCAAGAGAGATGTTCTAACGATCACCTTCGCGCGATCTAAGAGCCCAAGAACGCTTTCGACAGTCTATCGCCGACGTGGAAAAACTCGCGCGAAATCACGGATCGCCGCTAAGCCACGCTAGGCGATTATCATGGTGTGCGGCATACTTACATAAGTCTTAGAAGTGAGCACTTCCAGGAGTGACAGCAAGCGATTTCCATCTCGTAAGTCGATGAACAGATCGCTGATCGGATCGTGTTGATTCTACGGAAAGTAAGACAGATTAAACATCCGTCTCGCGGTTTTTTCATCGCTGGAAGCTGCCCTCGACGAGCTATTATATCGCGTTAGGAGATAACGAACGGAGAAATATGAACACGCGTAACAAGTAGATGCTTATTACGTTCCTCCACGCATGGAGAGATTTAAGAGCGAAACTCCTCTCGCATATACCGTGCACGCGGGACAGCCCCGCGAAATAAATGGTGTGTGTATAATAACAGACGAATGGTAATTGGACCGAAGAAGATCCTTTACCTTGAGAAGCTGCGAATTTATCCATTTGGCGAACGTCTTCTTTTGCACGTCTTCTCGCTCATCTGCAATATTATTATCACTCATTATAATTAATAAACTTTTGGGGGAAATTTAGCAAATCTTTAAAATATTCTAAGAGAAATACAGAAATACTTCATTACGTAATATTCAATATTAATATAAAATTATAGAAGTTAAATGTCTTTCCATGTTATTTAATATAATATTATAACCCGATAAATTGATAATAAACGTACGAGCTCTCGAGTGTACATACTTATTAAGTATATAATTTTAGGAAAATGTTAATTAAGTATTACTTAATTAACATTTTCCTAAAATTTTCCCAAAAATGTCTTTTAATAAACCGATAATTTTTTAATATTATAATCGGTAGAAATCAAAGAATTTCTTAGATTTTCACGTTTTGTATGCAAACATGTATATAGGTATGAATTAAACAAACAGATTAGACAATCCAATCGCGATAATCGAATTAACAAATTAACAAATAATGAATAACGTATGCTTACTTCATATCAACATATGTATACCTTTACAATCTGACATTATACATACATACGTGTGATTAATGAATGCTTATTCCGCGTGTATAATCTGTATCTTTCTTTGCTTACAATTTAATCATACAGTTACATCGTCAAAAATTAATCAAGTTTATGGTTACTTATTCGTGAAATATTTCTCTTATTGTACTGAGAAACAGTCGCTAAACCATGATTCAGAGGCAAACTGAGATGTATGACTTTTTTGATAACTAAAATAAACATTTATTCCACGATGTGATTTATCTGTATTCCGGGCAAAATTTATCTCGGCGAAGAAAAGATTTCGCGCGAATGTCACTTTGTCTCGGGGATCCTCAATTATTCGTTACGCGGTCTATGAACAGAATACTTAGAATACTTTCGCAATTCATAATACATTAAGTGGAGCAACAGTCGTTGATACGCTGGCGGTTTTACTCGCTCGTAAAATTATTGCCGACGCAGCACGGCGGCTCATCATCATCTATCGCGTTGACACTAGTTGACCTCGGTGACTGAAGCAGTAAACTCGAAATTTAGGTCGACCGAGCAGCAAGCCGCGAATACTATAAGTACCTGTTCATTTTATCGGATTGCTAAGTACACAAGACGGTATGCCGCATCGATCGAATGCTCGTCATCATCATCTGCGCACGGTGGCGAATTGATCGGATGCTGATTTCATGCGTCGTGATGCAACCGGCTTATAAGGAAGCTATATACGAGCGTCGGCACGCCCGCGCCGATAAAAATAGAAAGATAGGTGATGTCAGCTTTCACGCATTTTGGAATGTTTATATGATGTGAAGAGAATCGTTACTCCCGCACGTTTCGCGAAATATATGTATATCCAGCATCGTTCTGACACGTTTGGAGAATTATATTTAGACGAGCGACACGTGGCACTTGCATCGCTGCAATTAAATTAACGCCACGCATAAAGAACTTGTAACCACCTCGCAACGCAAGAGAGGATCTTGTCAATGGTAATTTTCAAACTGTATAATCCTGTTTGTTTATCATTTGTCACACCACTACCCGAACAAAAAGTCTCGGAATACATTCTATCGTATTTCCTGATGGATAGTGGTGCAAAAAATGTACAAATATTTTTAAGAACATTTTTAAGAAGAAAATTTTATGTCGATTTCCAAACGCAGAGATCGGGAACTTTCTTTCTGCAATGAATGCAAGGCACCGTTCGGTGCGGTCCAGAAGATCGACTCCTCGTTTGGAATCTGGAAGTCATCCATAGTCGATAGCGCACTTTAACGAGCCTTAAGGAAAACACGCTAACCAACAGACATTACCGATGAATGAATGAATGGACATACTTGTCTCTCAGGAAACGTAGTTCACGTGAGTAACGTGCAGACGCGGGAAGAAATCGCAAATGGTGATCATGTACTTAAAAGTAAAGTAAGTCGTGAGATCAACGCACGCAAAGACAATCTGTCTCGTGCGGAAGTCGGTCGCCTTCGAGCTTACCTCACGAAAGCTCAGAGTCATTAGGGAAATACCGTCATTAAGAATAATGGGATATCGATCCAGAAGACAGAAGAAGGGTAACATAATTTTTTAAATTTATCATTGCATTATATAACTGATAATATAACACACACGCAATCATATTATATTTTTATTATCATATTATATCAATCGAATAAGTTACCATTATAAATTAATCAGATAAAGAAGAAAAACCAAATTATCTGTTAATGCTCGTCGGTGTTATAATCAATTAACTCCAAAAGATTAGCAAAAATTGCCATATAATGCTTTAATATATTTCTATACGTATAATAGAAGTTACCAACGCATAGAAGTTAATGAAAATATGCCAATCAATGTTTTATTTAAATCTTAAATAATAGCAACGATTATTGATAACCGTCGAACAGCATGCTGAGATTAATAAACATAAAAAAATTGCGGTTCTGTTCCGGGGCGGTGAGATATCTTCGTCCAGTCCTGCGAAAATACGGCGCTTCCGAATATGGTGCAACGAGTTCTTGCGTACGATCCAGCGGTTTCTTTCTCCGAACGTCATACATCTTCTGTCAAAGGATCTTATCGCGCCATACCGAAGTCTGAATCGCGCACATATAACGATTTCTCATTATATCAGAGACATGAAAAAACGGTTCTGACGCATGTATCAACATCTAATGTGAATAATTATCTTGACAAAAATCTTAAATAATCGTTAAGATTGAGATGTAACTGATTTTGAGAGGATAAATGCTTTGAGAGGATAATGAGCCAAATTTTGTAGCATATACATATATCCATGACGGTATTAGACACTTCATATTTTGTGAATTATCTTATTAATCTTAATTATCTTCTATTCTTAGATATCAACTGTACACATGAGGTGTACTTAACTAAATTGGTATAGTAAATGTTAAAAACGATATAGAACTGAAATATGCCAAACGTGTTAGGATTTTTTTGTTTTTTACACGTGAAGAAAAATATCTAATCCATTTATTTATTTATAAATTTAAGATTGCACTTTTTTCTTTCTGAAATCAGATATACACACATATACAAATTATTGCGATTATAATATTAAAATAGAATATATTTTATGTCAAACTGTTCAGAAAATATTTGTTAAACTCCGACTTGGTCTAAGAACGACTCTGTTTAGGTATGCACATCCGCTCGTTTTCTTTCAAAGCATAATATAAACAGTAACATACCGCCATTAAGCAAACAGAGGACTTGTGTGTCTGTAAATACTTCGTCTTACTATAAATTAGCACACGTATGTGTAGCTCAAAGTATTCAAACTATACGTACCGTTCTCAGAAAATTATATTTTAACACTATGTGTTATAACAGCTTCACAATTCCGATTTTACATCGATAATTTTTAATTTTATATTTTAATGCTATAATAATTTCTAAAGTTTTCAGAAATACGTTTGTCATCATATTATTCTCTCTTCATTTATATATATATATATATTATATACTATCATCATTAATTAATTATGAAATGAAAAGACAGTATCGAAAAATTTAGCATCTTTTGACGTTTTTTAATTTCTTGTTTTCGAAAAATTTTAATTAATTTATTTTTATTTCCTCTGGACTTTCTATGAAAAGCTACAATAATCAAGAATGTTTAATTAATATAAAGCAATTAATATAAAACACGATTATAGCACTAACATCGATATATATGATTCAAAAGTGTGCATTTGTATATTTCACATTCAACCATGCATATAAGTATTTAGAATCTATTGATTGGATATATTTAATCTTTAAATTAAATTTGTTTAATGGATTATACATTTTATTCGATGCATTTTTCATTATTATCATCTTTAACTATTCTTCCATATCAAGATGTTATTGACTAAATTTTATATTCACAGTTTATTTAACTTTTAAGTTTAAATTATGTTATTGATTACTATAATATTTTTAATAATTTGTAAAATTATGGCAATTGTGGTATTTTTTAAACGTCACAGAAACTTGAATTAATTTTTTTCCGTCAAAAAATTAGTATAAACTGTCAACAAAACAAAAGTTAAAATCTCCCGAAATTGTCATTAAAAAAATATACAATTTTATTGAAAATTTTACTATCCAGATAAATCAATCCAGATAAATGTAGGTACATTGCAGATTTAATGCGATAACCGTTCATTACGAATCGTTAATCGACTGAAAGCTGCGTTCGCATCTAATCAACGATCGTGAGGGTTGAACGAATTAACCACATATCGATAACACTTTGTTGAGAAAACAGTGCCAACCACGTGAAACTATTATACCGCTAAACTTAGCCTACGCGTCCTCTCCTCTTCTGAGCGACAGAAAAAAATCGAGCACATCAATAGTCGACACGTTAAAATAAAAAAAAAAGAAATAGTTAAACGATTTTCTGCGGTATTCGGGGGTTCTGCTATTAAATTATTCAAAATAAATAAAATTTTTTTGATTGAGAACTGCGCGCTTTAAACTTGCAATAGCAAAAAGAAGTTTTTATTAAAATAACATTAATATACGCATATGCACAAATAATATATGAAAATAAGACAAGACCGATGATAAGATAATAAATTAAATAGCATTTCGTCAAATAAATTTATCTTCTAGCTTGTAAAGATTAATAAAATGTGTATTTTTGTATTCCTTGTCAAAAAGCTTAACAAATACATATATAAATTTTAGATATTTTAGATTTGATTCTGAAGATTCTGATTTTACCGAATATAATAAGTATATCTCAGTATATGTATACATATTGCATTCAATTGTGAAAAAAACCAGTTTTTATCGTTATATAAGAAACAATTCAAAAGAATTTAAAGAAAGAGTAAAAGTTTAAGAACAAAATTTTTGGAAAAAAACAAATATTGTATTTATTCGAAAAAAAAAATACAAAATGAGATGTTCTGGCAATTTTTTATTGCCAGTATTGTAACTATTTGTCTTGAACAATTTTCCAAAATTTTCGATTTATATTTTTTTCAACAGCTTTAGCAAAA